ATGACTAAACCAGTTTCAACAATGTGACGATGTTTTCTCTCAGCGAGACCATTTTGTTCAGGATGTTTGGGACATGAAAACCTTTGAGAAATTCCATGTAAAGCAAGAAATTGACTGAATGCATGACTCTTGTATTCTCCACCTTCATCACATTGTAGAGTTTTAATTGAACAATTAAACATATTTTCAACTTTTGTTTTGAATTTAACAAAAATCTCGAACACTTCTGATTTATTTTTCATGGGAAAAATCCAAGAGTATCGTGAAAAATCATCCACAAATAATAAATAATAACGAAAACCTTCATTTGAAATTACTGGAGAGCACCAAACATCGGAATGTAAAAGTTCTAAGGGAAACATGGAAATAGACTCGGATGAACTGAAAGGCAACTTGGAACTTTTGCCTAACGGACAAGACTGACAAAACTTGACATCACTTGTGCCATGAATTGGCACTTGATTATTCAAAATTAAAAACTTTATGATTGTAGAAGCAGGATGCCCTAGACGAGAATGCCACTTCTGTGCAGAGACACGGATGCCTACAAAGGCTGAAAAAGGATGATTGGATACTCCACGGCCATTTGGAAATGGGTACAACCCATTCTCACACCTCCCTTGGAAAATCGTCCTCTTGGTCTTGAGGTCCTTAACAACAAAATAATATGGAAAAATTAGAATGTAGCATTTGTTATCTAGGGTAAATCTATGGGCAGAGATAATATTGGTAGAAGCTGACGGACAATGTAAAACATTCTTAAGGTTAAATGAGCAAGAATTAGCATTAATTTGATTTGAACCAGAGTGAGCAATAACGAGTCCAGTATCATTACCTACACCACCAATGTTTTCATTACCGTTGTACGCTTTAGGATTAACCAAATTCTGGAGATCAGGTGTGATATGTGCATTAGCGCCTGTATCAATTAACCACGAACCATTTTTCTGACGGTTCAAGGGGATGGATGAGGAGGCCATTGCACTGAGACGCTGGGCTGGAATGCGTCATTCGTATGCAGCATTCATGCGCTGGTAACAGTCAAGGGCAGGATGCCCTTCTTTTCCACAAATCTGGCAGGTTATTCGTCATCCTCCACAACGTTCCCCATTACTGGCAGGAACACGTTGGTAATTATTGTTGTTGTTGCGAGGACCAAAACCTCGTTGGTTGACACTACCACGGTTAGACGGAAAGCCAGCTCGTCCACCACCACGAGAACGTCCACCACGTCCTCTTGCAGCTACAAAGGCATTCACAGAGGCTGATTCAACTAGTGAAACAATTTGTTCAGCCATTCTCCTCTCTGTAGTCAGGAGAAGAGATTCAAGAGTAGGGTACGTGATCGGAGTATCACGTGCCTGTGCTGCATTAACCGTCATTTCGAACGCGGAACCTAGATTATTCAAAATGATTTGGACGAGTTCATCATCGTCCACAGGCTTACCAACTAGAGCCAAATTGTCAGCAATGGCATTCATCTTATCAAGAAAGTCAGCAATAGATAAATCACCCTTCTTACATTGGAGTAGTTCATTTCGCAGGAAAAGAATTCGATTCTGCGAAGAAGAAGAAGCATACCTTTGCTCCAGTGCTTCCCATGTTGCACGAGCTGATCGTTTGCTTGCCACAGTAGCAAGGACAGAGGCTGTAAGGGAGCCATTGATCCAACTCAGGATCATTTGGTCTTGCTGCATCCAAGTGTTGTAGGCGGGATTGACAATGGTGCTTCCAGCGAGATACTTGGATGGACAGACAACGGAACCATCCACATACCCCATAAGATCACGGCTCTTAAGGATTGGAAGAATCTGGGCTAACCATAACGGATAGTTAGTCCTATCGAGCTTGATGTTGACAATGGTAGTCATGGACGAAGACATGTTGATTAGAGCAGTTGCAGGTGGTGGGGTTTGCTGGGAATCAGGGAAGGTGTTGTTGTTGTTGGAAGACATGCTGGAAAAAAAAAATTATGGATCGTTTGTCGTTGGACTTAAGAGGCTCTGTATACCATAAAAGATCTAGGATTGTAGATTGTAGGGAAAACAAAACACACAGGAAAGATATAACTCTACACAAGGTTTTCACTGTGATTCATCCTCTACAAAGAGAGGCTGCATGTATTTATATTTACGTACTTAATACATCAGGAATATGTTGCACGTGGTGCATGTGTTTGAGGACCTATAAACTAACAAGCAGTCCATGTTGCACATGCTGAGGACAAATATAAAATTAACAAGTCCATGATCATCTCCATGCTGCCCGTGCCTGACTTGTCGAAGACCACATGTGGAGATAGAAAACTGATATATAAAACTGACAGCCCATACTTCTTGGTTCCCACTTTCAAGTTCTAACTGTGCGTCTAACACCACTGTCCACATTATTGTTCTTTGGTTGGGATTGGCGAGGTCTTCTACTAATGGGAGCCGTTTCTATAGGCTCTCGAAACATGTCGTTGATGGCGCTCATGGCCTCTTTCATGTTTATAGTAGGATCCACCAATCCATGATGACACGCATCTTCCGCTTCAGACTTTCCAACAATGGCAGTGTCTACAAACTTCACCACAACTGTATCATCGCCGCCAAACATCTTCGGTTCCTCTGACCCTCTTCCAGAAGTCACTTGACGCTTACTTCTAGACGGATCATGTTGGGATTCTATAGGCCTGGCCCCGATTCTGCAGGCATTTTCTTTGCTTCTTTCTCCATTTGGAGGGATAGTCCGATCCAACAGAGGCCTTTTCGTGGTCGTCCTCTTTTCCTGGCGATGCACAACAATTTTCTACGGTTAAAAGGAGTGCTGACAACACAAACTACAATCCCTATACACCAAAAACAAGATTAATAAACTACCTGGTTTCTGTGTCTCCTGTGTCTCTCCATGCGTTGAAGGAACTGCTCGTATGACTTCTCTAACGCTCCAATGGGCTCTGCAAGGCTGTTTGGCAGTTAATAAGATGTAATGTAGCAGCGGTTCAAGTCAGAAATGTACATACACAGAAACATTCATGTGGATGCAAATTTTCTCCTCTTCGATCTTGGACGATTTTGCACCTACAAAACAACTAGCACCTTAGGTTAAGGCCAAAAGCCTCACGCGCCCACGATGAATGGGGGGGGCTTTGGCCGAAGAACCTCCGATGCCAAAGTTAGAAATTTAGAGAGAAATAGTGTTTAGAGTGTTTTGGAATTTTTGCAAGAGGTTTGGAATGAATTTTTGGTGAGAATATGTGTTTATTTATAGAGTTAGGGTTTGCCCTATTTTGAATAATAGTAGCCAGCCATAGGGTTTTTGTGGGGGTTAATTTCATGTTTAATTTGCCAATTTATTGGCTAATTAAATATGAAAATAATAAATGGGTGGTTATAAAAATGAATGATTATTTTAATAAGGAAAATGGGAAAGATGAGGATGTGAATAGTGGAGGCTGGTTTTGGGCTATTAATTGGGTGATTTTAGGAGATATGGTAGGTTTATATTATTTAGCTAATTGATTAGCTAAATAATGAAATAGAAAATACTAGGTTTTGGGAAATACCTTATAGAAAAGATTTGATGAGAGAAGTTTTTAATTGTTACCTTTTTTGGGCACTTTTGACTTGATTGAAAGATGATTGCCCACTGCTCGCGCGTAGGAATCCTTGTATGCTTCGAGGGTATTTTTGTCCTCTTTTGTTCAAAAATCCACGTGTCGCCTAACGAATATTTTTGGCTCCACAATTCATATTACGGTCATTATTGCTCAAATTCGCGACGTATACTACAAATTTGGATTGCAAATTGGCATCGAAGCTACAAATTAGCTAAACAACATACCCAACGCTACGAAACAGAAACGAATCAGGTATAATTTTACTTCCTCCAGAAATTGAGAGCATCACGATAGATTCAATGAGAAAGGGAAAATGCTGAAAACTTACTTTTGCACTCCCAAGTGGTACATCTTCTCAGCCTCCTCAAATTTCTTGTTCTTTTCATAGTAGAGAGCATATGCCCGGTAGAACAAGGAGTGCTTTGTCCCGATTTGATTCACCACCATTGTTCTCAACAAAGCTCTTGGATCATCGACAAAATCCATCTACTCCACAAACCAAAGATCAAGAATTGGAAAAACCGAATCGAACCCATTTCATATATTTCCCTCAATTTTCTCAGCAACCAAACAGTAGCTATGAATCAATCAAAATCCAAAATACCCAGAAGTCGCAATCACAAAGACAGGGGTAGAAAAGTTACCAACTTCAACCAAACTCGAATGTAGCGCAAGTCTTTTCGGTATCGCCGATCAGACTCGAATGTCTGCGCGCATTTCTGCAAGAAGCGAGGGAGCTTCTCCTTCAGAGTGCGAGGTGGGAGTGAGTCGTTCATTTTTCGAATCCCTCTGCAACCACATTGTGAAATCAAATGGGTTAAACAATAAAACGGTAACTGATAGAGAGGAAGAGATGGAGGTGGCGAGAGGGTACCTTAGCCATGGAAGAAGAGGGTCTTTGCCGGAGTAGGTTTTGATGTCGGAGATTAAGGAGGTGAGAAGATCGTTGTTGGACATGGTGGTAACGGTGGTGGAGGTGGAGGTGAAGGTGGAGGAGGGGGAGGGAGGTTTTATTTGAATTTTCGAAATAAGGGAGGAGCCGTTGCGCGCAACTCCAATTTATATGGAGTTGGATTTTTTTTTTTTTTGGTATAGATTCTGTGACAGATATTTTAGAGCTTGGCGGTGATACTGTTCATGTCTTGTAATATGAGTTGACGGTAAAGTTAATATTTCATCGACATAAGACATAATATTAATAAGTAGAAAAGTATTCCTTATGATTATGATGAAAAATATCATTAGACTTAATGTCCGTTTAAATGATTATCGTTAGACCTTATTATTTTAGACGGAAAATGAGATATACGCTTTAAATTTATCCTTAGAAAAATAAAATAAAACTTTAACAAAAAAAAAAAAAAAGAAATGTTCCGACCCGCGAAAGCCCAACAAAAAGAGAGCAGGCCTTCACACAATCACACCCACTGCAGCAAGTCACTGCTGAGTGGCCTTCAAAATTCATCACCGCCGCCGCTCGTTGTACTCCTTTTCCCAAACCGCCGCCCTCCACCTTCCCTAATCTCTCTCCCATGGAAAAATCCGACGCCGAAACTCAAAACGCTAACGACGACCGCGACGAGCAAACTCCCTCCAATGTCAACGGCACCGTAGACGACGAGCCCGAACCCGACGAAATCGATGACGAAATGGACGAAGAAGAAGACGAAGACGAGGAGGAGGAGCCACCTCTGCCGCGAAATCCCCTCTCCCAGGAGGCCCAGTTGCGTGCGGAGAAGTCCAAGCTAGAGAAAATGGTCCGTCGGATGTCGACCGAGCGGGTCGATCTGAGGGTCCACGACGTTCTGATCAAGGGAAATACGAAGACGAAGGAGCATTTGATCGAGGCCGAGCTGGCGGAGATTAAGAAGGCCGCCACCATGCAAGAGCTGCTCGAGGCCGCCGCAATTGCAAATGCGAAGCTTCAGAAGCTTGAAATATTCGATGCGGTTCGGATCACGCTCGATTCTGGCCCGCCGGAGCTGCCTGGAACTACCAATGTTATTGTGGAGGTCGTCGAAACTAAGAGTCCAATTTCTGGCGAAATCGGTGCTTACACGAAGCCAGCGGTACATTCTCTGTTACTATAAGTTTCGTGTATTTGTATATATTGGTTTGGTTTGCTGAATTGGTGAGATTAGGGTTTAGTACGTAGAATAACTACAGACTGTTTGGTTGCTGAGAAATTGGAGGAAATGGAAATCTGGATTGTATTAATTACTTGCACATATGGGCGTGAAATAGATGGCATGTGTTGAAAATTTTAAATCCCACATCGATACCAATATACTAGTAAAACCTATCCATATCTGCTGCTGCCAGTTTTTTTCGCTCCGAAGGATCATGATATTATGAAACTAGGAGGCGTGGTTAAGTGATGAATGAAATGTGGGAGCTAAAATGCCTAATATGTTGTGTTCTCTTATTTCTTAATTGTGAACAGATGCATAAGCATGGTATCCGTCGTGTCTTACGTGTAATGTTTTTGTAGGCTAGGTCATGGACTGCTGAAGGAACGCTTAAGTTCAAAAATCTGCTCGGATATGGGGATTTATGGGATAGTTCTTTGGCGTATGGGCCCAACCAAACGTCGGAGTTAAGTGCTGGCCTGTTTTTGCCCAGGTTCAAAGGGTTTGTAACTCCAGTGATGGCACGAGCATTCCTGCTTTCCCAAGATTGGATGGAGTTCTCTTCTTATAAAGAGCGCATGATGGGGCTCTCTCTTGGACTGATTTCATCAAAACACCATGATTTGGCATACAACCTGGGTTGGCGAACGCTAGCAGACCCATCACAATTGGCCTCGAGGTCAATAAGAAGGCAGCTCGGCCATGGATTACTTTCTTCAATCAAATACACATTTAAGATTGATAGGAGAAATTCACCTTTGAGGCCAACTCAAGGTTACTCATTTGTTTCTACAAGTCATATTGGTGGCATTGCACCTGATCATCGAAGCACGAGGTTTTTGCGTCAGGTTTAGTACACCTTCTCTTCTTTATTTTGGTTATCTTTTTTATTTTAGTTTCTTTTTAAGCCGAACTGATGAAGGGAAAGCGAAAAATATAAATTTATGTATATATGTCTTTCATGTTAAATGCTTTTGATTGTCATTCGTATACCCACCTGCTTAAGAGATCTATAAATGTTTTAACCATACTTTCATGTTTAGATAATTAGGTTACTAATGATAGAACGTTTCCTAGGATTGTCATTGCATAATGAGATGTTTCTAATATTTCTGATCTGGAACGATTCTTCTATTTCATATTCTTGAATAACAACCATGACTGCTTTTTTCTAGTAGGCCATCTTAGATACAACCTGTTCATTTTCTTGCATATTACTGACCCTCTTAACTGCTCATGTTGTGGACTTGATACATTATTCAGATACAACTTGTTCATTTTCTTGCATATTACTGACACTCTTAACTACGCATAATTAGAAGAGGAACATGAAAGAAAAACAACAAGACCATTCTTTTCTCTACCCTGTTTTTGGAAATTGACAAAACCAATATGATTGTTTGCTAATTAGTGATTTTCAAAATCTGAAAGTCTGTTATGAAGCTTTCTTTGTCCTGTAGTAAATTGTGTGCATTGTTATCTTGTGGCCTGATTCAAGGTAGTGAAAAGTGGCAACTTCTTATTGGATATATGGCCTTTTGCTTAAATCAGTTGATCTATGTTTATGGCTAAATATGGGTTTTGTTAAGAACCAAATTAAGGATTGATTTTTACCCCCTTTCCACTTATTCTCTAGACCTATTTGCTATTAAACTTATTAACTTTCTTCTCTTACTGTATGCTGCAGGAGTTTGATATTCGTTATGCAGTTCCATTAGGATTTTATCATGCTGCACTTAATTTTGGGATCTCCGCTGGAGTTATTTTTCCATGGGGGTGTGGATTCTTGAACAAGCCCTCATCCCTTCCAGAGCGGTTCTTCCTGGGTGGTGATTTCTCTCCAGTTTGCTCTGTGGGGGGCCCTACGACAGTGTGGGGATTCAAGACAAGGGGACTAGGCCCCACTGAACCAAGAAGGCATGTTGGAGATAATTCTAATCAGGAGAATTCAGAATCCCCTGGAAGAGATTCTATTGGAGGAGATCTTGCTGTTTCTGCATTTGCAGACATTTCATTTGATCTTCCACTTCGCTGGTTAAAAGAACATGGAGTGCACGGTCATATTTTCGCAGGTGCGGGGAATCTGGCAAAATTGACGGAGAATGAGTTCCAAAACTTTTCTGCCCCGAAGTTCCTTCAGTCATTTCGAAGTTCTGTGGGAGCAGGGATTGTTGTCCCTACCAAATTCTTCCGCCTAGAGGTTAGCTATTTAATCTGATTTTGAAGTAAAAATTTAAGAAAGGAAATTCATGGTACATATAATTCTTGCATCCGTGATATGTATTATATGAAGATAGATTGCATGCAGTAATGAGCATAAGGATCCTCTTTCTTCAAAAGGGTTTTCTTTCATGGTCTTATCTGCTTATATACTGGGTTGCTGCTGTTCTGGGAAAACAATCTAATTTTATGACACGGTAATTTCGAGTCAGGAAGGCTTCTGAAATCTTTGGAAAATTGTTTAAATGGATTTTGTAAATAATCTGTTCTTGTACAAGTCTCATCAGTTAAACTCCTCTGTAGGGTATACATGTGATGCATGCCTGTTTTCATTTGTGTATGTGTGTTGTTTTTCCCTGAGTTCGTATATGTGTTTGGTTCATACTTTCTATTTGGTTGCCTGGTTAGCAAGATCCCTATGATCTCAGGGTTTAACGAGCTCGTTCTTTTGTTGTCAGTGCAACTACTACTATATACTGAAGCAATTTGAGCATGACCGTGGGAAGACTGGCTTTCGCTTCAGCATCTCAGCTCCGTCATAGAATCTGGGAATTTGTTTTTTTCTTGTGATATTTGATGTTCGGCTAAACTTGAGGGCGACATAAAGAGAGCGTCGTTTGAGGTACCTGAGGTTTTTTTCCTCCTTTCGGATTGACAGCCCTGCTTATTTTCTTAGAATCTTAGTTCAGACATCGATACAAGTTTTTTGTTTTGTACTTTCAACTTTAGAGTCTAAAGTTTAGACTAAGATTTGAGGAAGCATGGTGCTTGAAGATGCACATACGGAGAAAAATAACATGAGATTTCCGGTGCTGGAACATATAAACATGGTGATGGTGATTAAAACTGTTGAGAAAATCCTGGAATTGTCATATTATTCCAATGAATATTTTCATACCATTTATTTCTCGCCTGTATGTATATCGTATCTTCTGCTGCTTGTCACGGAAACAATTTAGGAACAGAATTATGTTTCATTGCAACGAAACCCTTTGCCCGGAGACTGAGCAACTCTCTTCTTTTTTCTCTTTTACAGGGGATCAAACTCAGAAATGTTCTCGGAGCCCTTTGCAACTTTCTCTTTCACTTCATGTCGTTTTATGTCATGTGGCAATTTTGACTACACCCTTTTGGAAATTCCTGCGTCTGGATGATTTTGCAGTTACATTTTTGCCTTGTGGCGTGTTAGGGTTTTCGGGTCATTTGGACGGAGGAATTTTTGAAAGGGTGTAGTCGAAATTTAGAATTTAGATGACAAATTTTTTGGTTTGGGCTTTTTCTAATGTTTTATCCATTGTAATTCTCTTATCTTAATGGGGCTTTAGAATTTAGATGATGAAAAATAAAATGACACCTTAAAGAGAATCGGGTAGGATCAGAAATAGGGGAGGGAGAAAGACCATGCCTCTGTTTACGTCGATTAGAAAAAGGAGCCCGCCGCATCTGCAGTCTGCACCACCACAGCAGACAACTAGAGTCAATTAGTAATAATGTGGTTCAAATTTGCCCTTAGTGAGAATCGAACATAAGACCTCTCACTTACAAGTGAAGTGAAATACTACTAGGCTGTAGTACTAAACGGCGACTCATTTTCACTTTTAAATAAATCTGGTAAACATAGCCACAAACGCTTTTTATTGTCAAAAACATTTTCTTTCCAAAAGCAGTCCGAACAAACCTTTTAACCCGTAAACAAACAAACCAAAGGATGCTAATAGAGAATGGAGATCCCGCGCAAAAGAACTTTCATAATCCAACCAGATAGTGGTTTTTGCGCCTTAAAAACTTCACGCAGGCAGCACCAAACGCGAGAAGTCACCAGCGTCCCGCAGGTTCACACCAGTGGTACAATATTTTATTTGAAATAAGTGTTTGTAAACCAGAAGCTCAGTATTTAAGGAAAGTTTAGGGTTTAGGGTATGCCCAATGTCCGAGCTGGAGAAAATGGTACGGCCAAGAGCGCGAGAGGACCGTCGTGTTCTAGTGGACACCAACAGCCCGGTCGATTTCCGGTCGTTATGCAGACGGGAGCCTATGAAGAGAATTATTCATATTCCTTTGGAAGAGACTCTATTGGAGGAGATTTTGTTGTTTCGGCTTATAAAGACGTCCTTTCATTTGATCTTCCATTCCAGTTGGCTGGCTAAAAGAACATGGGGTCCATAGGCATATTCATGCAGGTGCCGGAAACATGGCAAAATAGACGGAGAACGAGTACTATAACTTTTCATTACCGAAGTTCCTTCTGTCATTCGGAAGCTCCGTAGGAGCTGCTGGGGTTGTTGTCCCTACAAATACGGCCGCCTAGAGGTTATAAGCAATATCATCTGACTGTGTAGATGACAAGCAATACATGCATGTTCTGGTTTGGGGTTTAGGCTTTGTGAAACAATTTGAGGCTCTTTGGAAGTGCTTATGAACAAGTGCCATTAGTTTTTCGATCGATATATTATGGGTTTTGTTAATTTCGAATGGGAATGCTCTTTGGAAGTGCTTATGAATAAGTGGATACTGCAAATGGTCTGCTCTTGCGAGTTCACAAGTGAACACCTTAAGATTAAGAGTAAGACATATATATGGTGAACTGCCTATTTAGTCTCTAAATTATCGATGAACTGCCTATTTAGTCTCTAAATTATCATCTCAGTGAAAATTAGGTCTCTAACTTTTTTTTTTTTGTTTTGGAAAAATCAGTCTCCAAACTAATAAAATATGTCAATTACATCTCTAGTATTAGGTTCGAAGCTATGATCTATCCAATATTTCGTCAATTTAAGTTACGTGACTTGCATGTGATCCATTTTAGAGAGTAGATAAGTAGTTTTTCATTGTTTAAGGACTTATTTTCTTCAAATAAATGGTGTATGAAGTTAACTTTGAAGGGTAGATTAGTCGTTAGATTCGCAACCTATATGCAACATCATGGGCTTATAGGCAAGAAAATGTTGGCTATATCCTTTAAAATGTGTTATGTGACTTAAGTTGACGAAAAATTAGATAAAATAGCTTTGAGTATTAATTTAAAGATGAAATTAGCAGTTTTTAATGAATTTAAGGACTTATTTTACCCAAAAAATAATTTAGGAACCTAATTTTCACTTAAGTGTTAATTCAGAGACTAATTCGGCAGTTCACCCATATACCATATAGATATACACACTGCATGACTGCATGAGTGCCTGCAGTCTACATGTTTTTGTGTGTTTTTTCTTATTTGGCTGTTTGTTCCTTGGTTTTTATGCGGTTGCCCTAGTTAGTTAATTAGCAAGATTCTTAGATTATGTTCTCAGAATTTAACAAGCTAGTTGGATTTTTGTTGTTATGCTTATAATTTACTTTATTTGAAGACTTATTACCAAAGTCCTCTGAATATTGAATATATATCGATCGTTACATCTTTTTTCTTCCTATTTCCTATCCTATATTTTCCGTCCAATCTTAATGTTGCAATTCAGGGAGCCAAATCATTATTAATATGCTTGTAATTCCTGAGTTTCCAGTCTATTTTTGTATTCAAACTTCACTACCAACCCTACAAGCAATATTGACGAAAGAATGTGAAAGGCATGACTTTGGTAACTGGTTGAAAAGATAGACACTCTTGAAAATTCGAGTTATGCAAGTGGTGAATTGTCCTTGTGGATATGAACTTCTTCTTCAACTTATTACAGCGTTTTGCATTCAAACCTTTTCATTTCTCTTCATGTAACTAAGAATATGGTGGATTGTCCCAGTGAATCTGAACTTCTTCTTCAACTTACAGTGTTCCGCATTTAAACTTTTTCCTTTCTCTTGATGTAACTAGGAATATTATTGTTGGAGAACAATTTAGAAACAAAAATAACTGAAATACAGAACTTGAAATACTTATACTTTATTACTAAAAAATAATTGCAATACAGAATGAAATTACATAATAAATACATAAATAAAATGATACTAACTTGAATGAATCAAAGGTAGAGGCTAGCGCAAAAGTTATGTCTTTCGAACATTATTTTCATTCCACTCTTGTGCTTGTGGTTCTACAACGTCTGTTAGACCAGGATACAATTACCTAATTCTACAACCCGCATTGGATTATAGAATTCTAGCGAATTGTTTTGTTCGTTTACTTTCTAGAAAGTTTGTATAGAAGAAAAGGAGGAAGAAAAAAAATGATCTATGATGGAAATGAGACTCCAGTTATATAGGCTCTTTCATACCTCTTCAAATACTTTGTGGGTGTATCTGAAGCTACACAAGAGTTGTGTCTATTAATCAAAACGTTTTTAATTAATTTTAATTAAAACTTAATTAAAATATAAAATTAATGATCTCATGGCCCTTGTCTTGATTAATAAATATTAATATTATGGTATAATCATCAAGCCTAAATTAGTCGTCAAAGCCTCAATCCCCATTCCAAATGGTCCAACACCTAATCACTAATAAAGGAGACTAAATTAATATAAGAACTTCAAGTTCCCTTGAGTTCCCCAATGTGGGACTTAAAGGAGCTCAAAACTCCAACAATTATATTGTTTACGATAAAAATGAAAAACCTTTGAGCTATAAAATCATTGGAATGTTGCCCCACATTTCTATCATACGATACATAATGCGTTAGGACGGGTAACATATCGCCTTCGCGGGCCTCACAAATTGGCAGAAATGAAAGGGAGATTAAATATACTTTGAGATTACTTAAAATATTATTAGGTTCAAAGTTATTCCTTTTGATGCATGCATGCGTTATTATAGTATTGTGTGACACCCTTTGTTATATAATATACTCAACATGCACATAGTTAATTGATTAAAGAATATGTGGTATACAGTCATATGACCTTGGACAGATTTTTCAGTTTGTTTCGGTCCGGTATACAAAAGTGTAATTCTACAATTGGTTGAAAACTTGAAAATAACAATTTTCAATCAATTATATTTGACACTTGGTGTACCGGGGTTGTACTTCAGACACATTGAAAATTTTCTCCTGACCTTGGTGAGTATTGACACACACATATATAAGCTCAGTAAATGTACGTATACGTATATCAATATTTGATATTTGGGGATGGTATTGTGGCATATATAATTAAGAGTAATAATAATTAATTTGTTTTCCGACCAATAGAAATACTAAATGAGGTGCTTAAAATATGATTAATTAATTTAGTGCCCCTAACATGGACAACGTTCGTGATAAACTCTTAATAATCAACTATTACCTATATAAAATAATAATGATATATAAACACACTAACTACCTGCTAAAATGCTCTCTTATTAGATGGATTGTGGTATGTGAGACTTATCAATATTAGAAAGTGTCAACAATTAAGTTAACTTTCTGTCTAAATAACATTACATATAGTCAATTACATTGAATTATGTTAATTTTTTTCTAGAAAACTTCGACGGTATGAGAGAATTTTATTAATATAAAAAAAGGATACACCTAGTCAGGAGGAGACATAAACCTAACCCCTCATAATACAAGAAAAAAATGATAAACAAAAGATACATGAAAAGAAGGGGGGACATAAACCTTACCATTCTAGAAACAAAAACAGCAAAAATACAAAAAAAAAAAAAAAAAAGAGGGGAACATGAAACCTAACCTCTCTAAAGCTGAACCTAAAGGTCTAAAACTGCAAAACAGCCACATCACAAGGTTAAGAAAAAAACAAGAAGTGAGTCAAACCTGTATGTCGAGATGCACATTAATTTGAGAAGTGGAAGCCAAGCAACATGGTCTGAAAACAAAGCAGCATGGATCGCCATTGGAGGAGAAATATGTCATACTAAAGTTGGAGAAGACAAGCCCATATTAGCAAAATTGTCCGCAACTACATTGCCTTCGCGACATATGTGAGAGGCATAGAAAGTCATCTTCTGAATGCGGTCCAAACAGATAAACCATTGCGTATGAAGAGGCCAAGGAGAATCAAAATCAGTCGATTGGAGGGCAGAAATAACTAGAATTGTTTTAATACAAAATTGAGAGACTTGAAAGAAGTTGAGAGTTGTATACATTAGTTATTGTAGCACATTGGGTTAGCCGAATTGATTAGAACAATGTGCTCCAACTTGCACTAAAATTCGTAAGTTAATGTAGGTTATTTTATCATTTGTCAAAACGATACAAAAATAATTTTCGAGTCTTTGTTGATTTTTTTTTCCTTCCTATTTTTCTTTCTGCAACACACACATGATGATGATGATGATTGCTTATTATTAAATTAGGTAGATGAGAAAAGGACAGACATCCTCATCTTCAAGCAAATCGATCCGCATAAAAAGGATCACGAGTTTTCATGCAAGAAAAATAAATCAACAATTGCAA